TTGACTTTTTGTCATACCAAACTTTCATTTTAGATTGTGAATCTTTTAAATGTGTTTTAGCCAAATTAACGGCATTAAAAAGTTTAGTTTTAAATTTTTGGACATAGTCAAGAAGTCCTTCCGTGGGTGTCGATGACATCCACGTGTCTTTTAAAAGTTTAAGGGGACCGCGAACCGTGTGGCCAAACACCAGTTCGAAGGGGCTGAATCCAAGTGATTCTTGAACTGCTTCTCTTGCGGTGAACAGTAGCATGTTGATGCCTTCATCCCAGTCTTTCTCTTGTTCTAGGCAGTAGGTTCTCATCATGTTCTTCAACGTCTGATGGAATCGCTCAAGTGCTCCCTGTGACTCAGGATGATATGCACTCGACAAGCAGTGTTCTATGCCCAATTGGTTCATCACTTGCTTGAATAGTCCAGGCTTGAAGTTGGTTCCTTGATCAGATTGTACCGACAGAAAATGTAGAAATCATGTGCAGTTTTGCCATAAATTTTTTAGAACGAAATGCTACTGAAAAAAAAGGTTTAAACTAAGATGAAATTATTAATACTCTTGCAATTATAATCATTATAATGGACAATCTAATTCAATTGATGAAAAGAATATGTTATTTATGTTAAATAAGTACAATTATTATACTTGCTTATAGACTTCAATTAACAAGATCTTGATAGCGAGAGAATGTCATTTATGTTATACATTTGTCGCAGTCCCGATTTGTCCTGGAGTGGGAAGACTGGCGTTTTGTCCCCGCTGATAAATATATATATATGTATTGCACATGTAAAGCATGGTTCTGGCTTCGTGAGACTATATTGTAACTGTATTCAAACTCATCAAATGGATTAAAAGGCTGATATCTATTTTTAGGTTTGGACTACAGTAATGCTCTTTTTGTTGAAAGGTACTGTGTCGGGCAGTCTTCCTGTTCGACTACTTATACACTGCTGTATTGGTTAGCTGGAACGGTTGTCATCAATGATTTCTCACAATCTTTGATACCTTGTATTTCTTACACCATGTTATTTTTCAAATTTACTTTAGTCACAGCCGCGGGCTGTCAAAAATCCATTGCCCCCTTTCAGAAGTTTCCATATACCAGATTCTTGAGAACACGGCCTTCCTATATTCAACTTAAATGAAATAGCAAGTAATGGCGCATTTTGCTAAAGACGAAGAAAATGCTGAACATTTTTGGAATGTTCCACAACCTATGTGTTGGGAATTCGGTCTTGCTATCGAATTCTATAAATTCGTGGCATCTTTCTTTCGTGAGAGCTGAAGAGTTTTTGTTCATGACTGGAAAATGTGCTCCTTACTCCACTGCAATATACGAACTTAAGGAGCACATTTGCCCGATAGACTCATAGTTGTACGTTTTTATTAAGTTTAGGATGATTCCATGCTCACTTATTCATTACGGCCAAAAATGATGCTGCTTTCGCAATCCTGATTTTCAACTCTTCCTCAACGTGAGTGAACTAGATGATTGGACATTACATATGTGTAATCTTAACGACTAACAGATTATTCCCTCACCAGGGAAATTTGGAGGGAAATATTGTTCTGGAATTGGCTTTGTTAAACATAATAATTTAAAATTTAAAACATTATTTCCAGTTTTGTAGCCAGGTGTTAATTTCCCAACAGGATTAGAACACATGACCCCCACCCCCCAAAACAGTTTTTTTTTCCACAAAAATAACCGCCTGAACTAGGCTAAAATTTCAGATTTTTATTTTTTAAAGAATATTGAGACACACTCCATAAGAAGTTTAACTACTGAATATTTTAAATATCCTTGAATAGCGAAAGGAGCTTGCTTTAAATCAACAAGTAGTTTACTAAACTGAGTATCACTGCAATCATTTCGTATAGCAAACAGAAAAGTTATGAATCATTGTATAATCATTTATTGCACAATGTTTTTTAGTTTTTTTTATTTTTTTTTTTGGTTTTATCCTAACATCTACATTTAGTGGATCCCTCCCTCTTCCTTGATCTTAACATTTCACACGTCTTGGGACGCAGCTGACAAACCCACGACCTGTTTAAACCAGCGAACCGTTGAAATAGTCGACAACACCTGGGATATCTTCTGTTCAAACCTAATATACATCAACGAAATATATGTATCTATTAATTTAGATGTTTCGGTCTTTTCTATTTGACAACGCTGGTAAGATTTAGATATTAGTTTGAATTGTTTTAAATATATTTTTATTTAGTTAATTTAACTAGTAGACATGGAATGAATTAATTGTGTTCGTGTTTGTTTCAAGTTTGTAGGCTATCGAAATTGAAAACTTAATAAATTGAATTTTAATTACATGTATATTCTATGCTAAATACTTTAATATTCTGCAATATATCAATTTCCAGGACGCGAGTTTGCACAGAAGTCGTCTATAAAAGAACCCGACCTGCCTGTGAATGGCGTCACATTGATGAACCTCGTTAAATTATTAAATGATGGAGTGTCTAACCACGACATGTGTCTCATTTTCAGCAACGATTCTTTAAGATCTATATTGATTACTTTGAGACTTGAGCACCCCATAACACTAGTGATAGTTCAACTTCGTAAGTAGAAATAATCAACCGTTCACAGTGTTTGCCCTTTCATAATAATATATTGTTTACAACATTCATAAATTGAGGCTTGGGTTACAGTAAATTGATTACGTATTTCCTCCTTTCAGTAAAGATTTGTCAATCATTACGTTAATAATTGTTACAGGGTTAAGTGTTTAACATTTCAGATAACTTATTGAGACACCCCTACCACAATAGGGTTAAGTAGAAGTCATGTGCTGCCATCCTTACTTCAAAAAATAAGTATTCATTATTTGTTTTTAAAATTTCTATTTATTCAACAAAAGAAACGAAAAAGAAAAGAAGTCACGAAAGTCGAAATCGCTGCATCTCAATTCCTTACATTGCTGCCTATCATAAGACTGAGCTAATCGTCGATAGATTCGGCCACCTATACTCTAACACTGAAATATCTTGTTGCGGTGAACACTCGCGACAGTGTTATATGTACTAGCAGAATGTACGTGCAGCTGTCACCTTAAGACATGTCATAAAAGCATCTAACTTGTTTCCTTAACAAAGATCAAACTGAAAACTTTACGGTCCGAGTGAAAGGATTTAATTCTCAAGACTCAGTTATGTTTAATATTAGCCTCCCAGGCAGGAAAGTTATACATATAGCATTCGGATCAAAACCACACATTGCGATGGTCCAGCTGGAGATCTTAGAAGGTCAACTCGAACTTTGTGAGATTCAAACATTTGGGGGTCATATTTTATATTTCTGATTTGTTACCTTTTACAAGTAATGCATTCAAAGATTTGTGATGATTAATTAACTAAGCTTTTCGGCTATTATTTATATATAAAAAAACGTAGATGACTTTTGTTTTACTGATGTTATGCCCCCTAATGTGTTCAAAGAATGTGAACAAGCTCGAGGTCTAGGGGGGTTTGGAAAAGAGGGCTAACACAGGTAGATTTTAGACACACTATCGGCTAAAATAAAGACAATCAGTGCACTATATAAATGTACTTTATTACATGAACTACTATGTGAACAAAGATACATGAAATCTAAATATAAAGAAACGAATATAATTCTAACTATCTAAATCTCACAGTAATAATAAAACCCACAATACTATCACTAGTCAAAGTTCCTGGTATTAATATTCCTGCTAACTATTAATAAACGTCAATACTCTGTTGGGCTGAGACTTAGTCTCTTAGAGCCCTGGCTACTAATTTGGCGGTGAGCCTCATCTGCTGGGCATCCCCGGAAATCATATCTTCAAAGCAGGCCTCCGGGTCTCGCCCGTTTGCCCCCGTCCCCCCACTAGGAGACGTGATGACCAAGTGAGCCACTGTTTCTTCTGCCTCACCACAGAATCGGCAGTTTGGTTCTTTTCGATCATCTAGTCTGTGGAGGTAGCTGCGTGTCGCGCAGTGTCCAGTCCTCATCTGGGTGATGAGGCTCTGTTCTCCTCTCTTGAGTCCCCACCATGGGTCGGTCTTGCTCGGTCGCGGTCTTCTCCGGTGCAGCTGTTGTCCGTTTCTATGACGTGACCACCAACTGGGTCATTGGTTTATTTGGCTGGGGGTGGGACGCTCCTTCTTTGGCTAGGCAGTTCGCCCTGTCCGGCTGCACAACCTCAACGTGCGAAGGGATATACTACAGAACTACTTTGCCACCTTTTGCATGGATGCTGCCTACTGTCTCCAGAATGGCGCCTATCATTGTGGTTTCCTTCGAGCCCCTTCCCACGTGTTCGAGAGCTGATCGTGAGTCGGAGAAACCACTACGTCTGGGAAGCGTTTTCGTTTTTGCCAGGCATTGGTGGACCAACATTGCCTCGATCTCCGCATCTAGACTTGTTCTGTTTCCACCGCTCGGGCCAGATAGCTCCTCGGGTGGAGCTATCTCCGCAGGAGTCCATCCTCAAGGACTAATTGGTCTGATATACCATCGCCAACCCGTGTGGCGATAGTTCTGTCGTTTAGAAAGTTTTCCACCCATGCGGACATGTTACTTGTGATTCCTATAGCTTTTGAAATTTGTGCATGAGGCCCGTGCGCCATACTCGGTCATATGCTTGTTTGGGGTCAAAGAAAACTGCTACCGAGTGATTCTTCTTCTGGAGCTCGTTTGTCATTAATTGGACAAGACGGATCACCTGATCCATGGGTTGACGACCCTTTTGGAAGCCATGCACCTTGCTTCGATGGTGGGCACTTGTTTTTCTCAAGAAACCAGTAGAGTCGTCCATTTACCATTCGTTCTGCTACCTTTCCCACACAAGATGTTAGCGACATTGGCCGATAGTTACTTGGTAGATGGTGCGGTGCTCTTCGGTCTCTCGGGTCTTTTTGTTCACTGCGGCGAAATGAATATTTAGTGCTTTTGCCCTCTCTGCGTCGCTCGCTTCGACAGCATTCGCGGTTTTTATTGGTTGTGGTTTTTTTGGCCCTCTCCACACCAGAGAGATTTCCAAGCAGGCTCCACACTTTTCTAGGAGGTCGCGCTTTTCACATGCGCTTACCCATTTTGACTTTTTTTGCTTTTTGGACAGCCGCCCGAACTTCAGTCGTAAGTCTGCTCTATGAATGAATAAGCCCCAGTGTCGCAATTCTAAACGCACAGAAGCACATAACTAAGCGTGTATCAGAGGTGTCTGATGATTGAACTTTTAAATGGCGGACAAGTGTAAACCCCAAACACCATCATGTTAGAGAACTCAAAAGATTCCATAAAATATGTCTGCGAAACTATCTACAGCTTTGATGTCAGGATAACGTATCAAATACAGAATCTGTGGAACGTACCATAATGATCAGCATGCTCTTAGATTTTAGTTCGATGAGGATATGCTAGTTAGTCCATGTTAGTCCATGTTAGTCCATGTAACGATAACGGAACAGTCTCGTTTTCCGTAGGACCTCATTTAAATGGGGAGTTGGTAGGAAAGCAATACTTGTTTTCAGCGCCTGTGGTGTAATTACGTATTCAAAACAAAAATAAGATAAGCCAGAATTAAAATCCATGGATCGGCGTTGATCCACCTTTATGTCGGAGAAGAGCAGTCAGTGTATGTGGGCGCAAAACAAGTCTATATATAAGATAAGATAAGATAAGATAAGATACGATAAGATAAGATTCTTTTATTGATCCAAATAAATTGAAATGATTTTGATTGCATTATACATTTTCAGCACAAAAATAAAACAATTTGAACACAAGACATTTATAAGAAATTATTTCAAACAGTCATTCAGTGTTCTCTTAGCAAAACCGGGGACCTATTAGTTCTCATGCAGAGGATATTTGACAAGAGGCCACTGCAAAAATATAGCGTTACCAAGGACCAAAACAAAACATATGTGAATTTTTATCTGCGAGAAGTGCAGTCGAGACGGACTAGTTTAGGATCGGACACGTACGATTTTCTTAGGAAATTTGAAAAAAAAAGCTACTACATTACTACATAGGCTGAAGGCGATGAAAAATTACATATGTATTTCAAGGAGCCTCTTATCTGAGTAAACCATATGATAACACAGACACATACCATGAAATCTAAAGTTTACAGCGCTGTGTACTGGGAACCATATATATTAGATTTACTGATGCACAGCGAGTAGCCGGTACCTGTCACCTTAATCTACTAATTACCCTGACGATGGTGACAGTTTCATTCCGATTATGTCTGCACGGACGGCTCTTATCTCTGGGACCTTTAGGTTAACGCTCAATTTTAAATGGAGATAGGTGCATTGTGTACAGAAATAGTCCAAGAGTCTATTGCATGAAAATCATGCTTTGGATAACTTGTACACGATTCGCTATTCTGATTTATTCAACCTGTTTATGATGTTTAAGTATGTGTGCTTAATATATATCATTTTAAATATCCTTTCCCTCTCTTCGGCTTCTTCTTACAGTTTTTTGTTTTTGTTTTTGTTTTTGTTTTTGTTTTTGTTTTTGTTTTTGTTTTTGTTTTTGTTTTTAGTTTCCGGCTTCTTTGCTCACAGAACATATTTTTAAAAAAAGCTATAATTTTCGAGGCATTAATTTTTTTTTTTTTTTTTGGGGGGGGGGGGGGGGAAATCAAACTATCAATCACAAACTAATAAACCACTCGGCAACCAGTTGCATAAATTTGCAATATTTCTTCTTCTTTTTTTTCATTGAAAATAGGATACCTATAATCATTTTTATGTCCATAAATTTTAATAGATTTTTTTTTAAAATCCTGAAATTGAAACATGATATCTGTGTCATTGAGTAGCTCTCATTTCTAGGATTTAAATACACTATGTAAAGTTTAGACAGGTTGCATTTTACTGACAAAATTTAGCACAACTCGGTAGAGACTCCATCTGTCATGGACAAAAATTCATACCTAAAACATTTTCTTTGTTTTTTAATGTCTAAAAGTAGCATATACCTGGATTAATATGTTTGTAGAATGTTTCGACTGACAATGGATATTTAAAATTTCTTAAATAGGATTGTCAGCCATAAATAGATAATCCAAGTCAATAAATTTGACTTCAAATGTTCCAGGTGACGTTGCAAGCACAGCCAGTGGAACTCCATGAACTACTCACAGACAACAATGACACAACGTGTTACAAGAATGACAATAAACGTATTGAAGTAAATTTTAGCGAGCCGGTGGTAATCACGTGGGCCAGGGTTGTGTTCAATAAGTCGGGTACTGAAGAATAAAGATACTAAACGTTTATCAATTAAGCACTATTTTGATTTGGGTTTTAACAAATCGATTATTTGATTTCTTGAAAGATCCATTGGTATATTTTTAAAAACAAAAAAAAAATAAATTTAAATGCTAAACCATAGAAAAAAACTCTCACAGTTTTCTTGAACAATATATTGCCGTCATTATGAATAACAATAAATATATTTTTTTCGAAATCAAGTCAGTAGACTAGACATTGCACAAACATCACAATGTCTGCTTTCAGAAAAATGTAATATGTTTTAATCAACGATAAAATCATTCCCTAAATACCTAAAATCACCACCTCTTTGAAACACACACACACCGACACAGTTCAAATTTCATTAGTATATTATATAAAAGTATTGTAAAATATTCAACATTTCAGCACTGGTAGTCATTACAGCCTTAGAATTCACAGCGGTAATAAACGGAACACAAGTCACCAAGTCGTGCCCATCCTTCAGGACGCCACACATAAAATACAACAGTTTTGATGTCTTCTGCATCGGCAAATTCATTGTGAAGTCTGTGACTTTAAAATGGAAAGGAACCGGGCAAGTCTGTTCACTTTACATTAATGCAGGTGAGAACCTAATTGAAGTAATTGGGAAGAATAGGTGTATGTATATTTCTTTTTACAGAATTTTTTTCTTCATTTCTTTTCGTATTTTTGTTTGCTGTGTTCGTTGTACTTTCGTAGAGATATACACCTACATGCATGATTAATTAGTTAATGCACAACTTACTAATGACATTAATAATGTGTCGCATTAATAAATTTCTTGTTACGTTAGACCGTGTTTCCATGTTGTCAAGTTGTTTTCTAGTCAAGGAATTTTGCAATCAGTTAGGGATTAGACAAATTAATGGGGTGTGAGCTATTTGGATCAAACATGTTTATGAATAGATCATTATTTTCACACAATACACACATCCAAAAGTATCGCAAATGCCTTTATCAGTACTATACAAAATGTGTATTATTTGGAATTGAATGTGCATAATGTATGTGTTTCCTACATACAACTGAAATTGAAAGATGATGAAATGATACAAATTTGCGTAACGAAAAATAGGTCTGAAGAACGGAGAGAAAGGGGGTGGAAGTGCAATGTATAAAACTTAATGAAGAATTACATTACATTACAGTATAGTTATTTATAACTTTGATTTGGTTTATTTAGTAAAGAGTCAACGTACCATTTTAAAAATAAAGGAAATGTCCATTTAAATTCTATCAGAAGTATTATTCGCATACAAGATAACAGGAACTGCATTGTCTAAGAGAACATTATGTTTTGAACCATTGACATGTTGTTTTTTGTAGAAACGGGACAAAGGCGTGTGTTTTTATTGATGTTTGTCAGGTGTACTTAAAAATGATATTCAAGGCTATGACATCTCTCCCCTACGTATGATTTTCCTTTATTTTGCTTTTGGTTAAAAAAGTTTGTGTAAATCATATTATTCAATTAATTCAAATCATTCAGGGAAAAAATGATCTCATTAACTTCAATTACATAGGGATGTGTTTTGTTATGGCTACAATGTATATGTGCTTGGATAGCAGGGAGGTGTCTTTTAACATGCATGGCCCTAATTTTCTTCCTAAATAGAAAAGAGAAGTTTATTATTTTTCAAAATAAATATTATTGGTGAAATTTTCTGACATTAGTTCATACTTATGGTTGTTGCATATACTTTTCTGAACAACTTTTTTCCACTCTCTAACAAAATGTTTGTCTACTCTCTAACGAGAATGACTAAATAAAATATGAAGCATAATTTGAAAATCATGATTCTTTAAATGATCATTTTAATCAAGAGATCGACAATTAAAACAAAAAGATGTAAACAAGTGATAGATTGGGGGGGAAAAATATTTTTTGTTTTAATTAGATCTAAAATTTCAAGAAAATCCCATTAAAAAAATAATTTTAAATTCGGCAGTAAAAAATTTAAATAGTTTATGCAGTAGTATGTTTTATCTCATAGGCCGTAATGTAGAACTCGGAGGAGCAGCAGTCGAAGGCTGTAACCCCTTAAAACTTTAGAGCAATCTTTGACGGAAATAGTGACATAGATTCCTCCTTTAAATTGGACACCAGCTCTAGCCAACTTCAGCTGATGACAAATTGTAATGATATTGTATCTGGAATCATCGTTCACAAAAGTGAGATATACATTTAATAGACGCACAACTATAACTGTAAACCACCATCGTTAAATTGACTTTTTTTTTTAATAACAAAAGCATATAGCGATAAATGTAAAGGGATAACTAAAAAGTTTCAGATTTTTTACTATTTGTAGAATAATCTATTTTCTAAAAATAAATGTACACTTGTATTTTTTCAGTTCAAAATTTTGAAAGAAAAACACTCAGAGGAATAGTGAAACCGTTATCTAATATATATAATTCGCAAGAAAAGGTCAAACACCACAACGCAGGTTATATATAGATACGCCAGAGCAAGCAAGCAAGAAGCAGGCAAACCGTCCCCAAACCGTCAACAAGCTCGCGGTGTCTGCTAAGTCGCTGGTCACGTATCATGAAAAAAAGAGGAGTGGGGGATGGGGTGTGGCAAAATTTGCATTCTTAAATGTGCGTATCTTGAGTTCACGTTTTTGTCAAGTAACTTTAATAGATGGCTAGTTCACGTATTGCTGTCGCCAATATAGTATGTGATTTTTATGACATTTTTTTTGTTTGTGCAAACTTTATGCTGCTTTTCGATGATTTAATGGAGTTCTCATTGTCAACTCCTAACGTCTTCTTGGATTGATTACATTCGTCAGTTCTTTCACACGTTGAAGCGTCGTACTATTCTCACTATCATTAAACAAACTCAACTCCTTTTCATAATAACTATAACTTTAATATCTAAGTAAATATAATACACATAACATGTGAATATATCGCAGCTCGCTATCAGACCAAAATAACACACATCCTATCACTCCAAAGTTCCACTCAAGACTGCCGCACGACTAAAACATACGTCACAACACTGCATAGACAATACGTCACGAATCAGCACAAAAATACGTCATAAAGACAATGGCGGGGAAGAGCGTTCAACAACTAATGAACATAATATCGAGTCGCAACAATTACTAATGAACGCTCATACTCGACACTCATCACATTATTACTGGTTCAATTAAAAAATCAAAATCCAATTGCATTGATTTTTCCCGCTTTTTCTCTTCTCCAAATCTGATTTAACATACATTTTAAACAGACACCGCTGCAGAGACATATTCCCTGTTTGTGAAGTGTCTGGATGCCATGAATAACACTGTATGTGACAAGACTTCCAGTCAATCAGCTGAAAACAGTCTTCACATCGTTGTCATGAAAGCAGCTGTTTCTAAACTAATTATCAACGTAACAACTGGCTCCATGACGATTTGTGAATTCCAGATGTATGGAGGTGACTTAACTTTCATTTAGCCTTTATAAGAGTAAACATAACACTCTAACCACGTGTGACGTGTCCAAACATATATTTTTTTTATCTGTAAAGAAGTTTGGTAGATAGACAGACGTACACTTGTCACCAACTTAACTTTTTTGGGTGGAATTTTTTGTCTTCAGGGAAACGTAATTTCCATCATAGAATATTTGAATGTTAATGTTTTTTTTTTAAATTTTACCCGGACCAGCATTGTTAAAAAAGCATCATTTGTAAGACGTCTAGCAGCTAGGTGGAACCATCAGATTTCTTTTCCCCTATTAGCTGGTAACCTTAATTTTAAATACAAATTATTACGAATTGTGCCGTAAGACATAAGATCGCTTAAAATTTATTAACACCCTTTCAATGATTAACGTGTAAAATGCAATTTCCAGAGTGCCCGCCTCCTTACTACGGCCTCTACTGTAATGAAACGTGCAGTGGCCGATGTGTTGGCAGAAAATTTAATTTTGAAGAAACATGTCATCAATGTGCAGACAAAAATAATAACGATTTATGCCAATCTATGCTTCAACTCGTTCACTGACCCTCACTTTCCTGTCTATCTCTCTGAACTATTGCTTCCTTACATCCCCACAAGACAACTACGCTCTTCCATTGACAACAGAACCCTCTCAAAACTAAGACCATCGGTGAACGCTCCTTCTACTTCCATGGACCTACGTTCTGGAACCAGCTCCCCTTTCATATCCGTCATTGTGAAACTTCGTCCACTTTCAAAAAGTCCCTTAAAACCCATCTGTTTAGGTCCGCCTATGACCTGTGATGCACCCTCCTTGCCCTGCCTCATTTTCTGTCTCGGGTTAATCCTGTAATATAGGCCAAAACGTGCCAAAGTGTCCTCGTTTTATAGCCATTTTAATTGTTTCTATAGTATAGTAGTTACTATCCTAGTGTCTCATTTTTATTTTAATTAGTTTACATGTTTTTAATAAACCGTTCACTAAACTGGAAAAGGCATACTTTTTTTAATTAAATATCGAGCAATTGGGACGACGAGATTTTATTTCATGACATCAATGTTGTCATTTTTCATTCTTCTTTCCTTTGAAAAAAACGGAAAAAATTATTCAACAATCAATTGTGGTTTTGGATGGGGCTGTAAATTTGACCGAATGTATTGTCATCGACTTCGAGTCTATGTGCTACGTTTCAGCATGATAGTTTTATTTTTTTTGTAAAAGATTTGTTTACGTCATCTTACTTAGGGTCGGTTCACATGGTCAAATGTTCCTTCAAACATTTGATGCAATTTGTGTAAGAAGCCTTGTAACAACTTTCAAATCATCATTTGATTAAATTTCGATGGCATGCAATTTATTTTAGTATTATTGAGAAACCTCCGTATCACGTAAACAAACACTGAAACTAAAAAGAAGTTCACCAATATAGGTCGTGTTTACATTGGCTACGGAAAGTTATCACAAAAAAAAAAAACAACAACAAAAAAAACAACCGCCTCCAAATAATAATTATTTTCTCAATTTGGAAAAAAAGATATCCGAAAAAACGTATAAAATAAATTTGTGTAGGGCATTATATAACTGAAATTTATTTTTTTAAATAGGCCTATTACTTTATAAACAATATTCTCTACGGCTAGCATCTGCACAGACTATATCTATAAATTGTTGATAGACAACGGTGCTGACATCAATGTCAGGGAAACAAACATAGGAACCGCACTCGATGGGGCTGTGCGTGGCGATCAAACAGAAACTGTCAAGTTATTGCTTGAGTTGGGAGCTGATGTGAATGTTAGAGATGATTACGGTTGCACGGCCTTACAGAAATCTGCTGCTTTCAGAAGCATGGACACGTGACAACTTCTGCTGGAACATGACGCGGATGTAAACGGGCAAGACAATGACGGAAACACCCCTTTGATGACCCCATGTAAATGGTTTCATAATAGCGTAGAAGTCATCAGGACGTTAGCCCAGGCAGGGAGCAGTGTCAATCATCGAAATAAATCTGGCATGACTGTGTTCATGGTCTTTGCAGAGGAGTCAAGTAACGTGGATAATATTTAAGTTTTATATAATGCTGGCGTAGATATTCACGCTGTAAACTCAGACAGGGGTTGGATGAAAACTGCCTTGTCCATTCTACTTGCAGAAAATTATTTACCTGAACAATTATTGAAATGCGTGGAGGTAGCTGAATTTCTGCTTGACCATGGCGCAACGGCTCGCCATGTGAATCCAGGTATCATTCACCGAGCTTTTGCCAGAAGTCATGAAACATTGGTGCAAAAATTGATCCATGGGGGTCTAGCTCCTCAGGATATTTATTTGGAAAATTATTGCCCTTGGCCAACAGGCATTGTTTCTCCACTGAGTGTGGCTCTGTTTATGAATAATGTCAGACTCGCTCGCCATTTCATTGACATTTGGTACCTAACCCAATCTGATCTCTGTAATCTTTCCAGGAATAGGTCAATCATAAATTTAATGGACAAGAATGGTAACTCTGAGTGCGCATCATTACTGCGAGAGTCACAGCCGCTGCCCTTGACTTTGCTCAGCTTCACCGTTGTGTCCACTTCCGTCGGTGTCGGCCATGACAGAGCGGAAAGAATCAAGGCAACTCAACTTCCGTGTGTGTTGAAAGAACGTTTACTCTTCTGCAAGGAAGGATTTAACCCAGAAAATGAATTTATAGAATCTGACCAGATGCTACATTTTCTGGCCAAAATTGCCCCCATTAATCGCATAGAAAGAGGATATTTTGAGTTTTCCTCAGATTTGGAATATTGGTTTTGATTGAAATGAAAATAATTCCGATAATGATTAACGTATTACTCATTTTGCAGTTTACATGTGTTCCATGGACAAAGCACGAAGTTTATTATAAGCACTACATGTTTACGGCTGTCAGTGGATCAATATGGCAGCATTTTGGATTTTAGATTTATTGCCTTATACTGTCATTTGTTATTCCTTTAACACGCCAGGGTTGTGTATTTTATGTGGATGATTGAATAGTTTGAAAATGACTTTAGAACAGATAAAGATCAATAAAACACATGAATAAACATGATATTTTAGTGGTAAAGAACATACTCAAATGTTTAAAACATAAATACCGGTACAACAAAGTTCATGGATATAGATTATTTATTCAATTCGATACATTCTAGAATGATGTATTAGTCTATCACGTAATGATGACATTGTGCCTATATGTTTAAAAACACATACGAATTGATGGAAACTGTCTCAAGTCTTAACACCCCCAACCCCCCCCCCCCCTCTTTTTTTTGTTGTTGTTGTTTCCAGTATCCTGTCATAGGCGAAATCTAAGTCTGTATGTTACCATTTTGTTGATATTGCTTTGCCTAAAATATTAATCAACAAAATTATGTAGCTTTACTTGATATAATTCGTGAGGGTATCGTATTTTTGATTAAAAAATAAATTTAAACCCACCGCGATCCTTAAAAATTAATATTATCGTCAGGTCAACAAGACGTTAGAGCGATATGGCAGGCAAAACCAAAGCAGTATTTTTTAAAACAAAATCAGAGTCTGGTCTTCTGGTCAAGTCTAACACTTTGAAAGACCATTTGAGTGAACACTGAACGCTGTCTAATTCGCCCTATGGCTTTCATGATATTCGTTTGTCAAGTCATATCAGCTGTTTAGAAAGCTTAGATGATGACTTTGAAAAACAACATATTTTGAGACACAAAATGCAAACTTTGTAGATTGATGTTAATGTAAAGGAAACACCCCCCACCCCCTTATTTTTTTCATAAGTTAAAACGTAAATTATAAAATGTTGACTAGTCAAAACTTAAATTATCAATCATTATCGTCACCATCTTGTAGACGACTTCTAGTGAACGTAAATAGACCATGGGTTGCCAGTCATCTCTGCTATATCTTCTTTTTGCACTTAGAACTTATTCCTTGCTTTGCGGATTAGCTTAGATCGATACTAATTTGTCCTTTGAGATTGCGTGAAAAGGGGGTGTGGTAATAATATAAAAGATATGACCTAGATAGATATAATGTCTTTTTCAATACATTTCAATTAAAGACTTTAGGCTTGCTACTACCAATATTTTCATTAACTTTTGATTGATGGAATTGATCTTTAGTAGTAGGATTGTATGAATTTGGAACTGATCTTTAATAGTAGGATTTTGTGAGTAAATATGATTGGACGTTAAAAACAAACAAATATGTAAGTATAACACATTTTTGTGTTAAGCTCTACTTGTTTCAAAGTTTAATACACTTTTTTTGTGATTTTTTTTTCTCTTAGATAAATAGGCCTACATATTTTTGAGTTAAATACATATGTTTGAGTTAAACACATATTTTCAAGTGTAAAGTATCTATATGTATTAAAAAATAATTTTGTCAATCAATATGTATTTTAAAATTGTGTACTAAATTGATAGTAAGTCGTGTTTTTTATTCATGTATTAGAGTCTTGCATTCTGCACAAACATTTTCGTCAAGTAAATGTTCTCCCTCTTTCTTACTGTCTCCCTCCAACTCTCTCTACCTCCCTTCCTCTACCTCCCTCTCTCTATATGTACCTCTCATTTCCTCTCTCCCTGTAACTCCCTCCCTATCTACCCTTCTCTACCCCCCCTCTCTCTATTCCTTCCTCTCTTTCTCTCCCCTCTCTCTTTCCCCTCTCTCTCCCCCTCCATATCTTTCTCTTTCCACACTCTCTCTTTTCCTCTTCTCAAACTGAGAGCGGAGTAAATTCCTTAACATTTTGAAATCATCCGTTTCTATAAATCAATAATTTTTGACGGGATATGGGCTGGAACAAAAGACCATTAACACGTATTTATAAAAACAAGTATGATAGCAGGGAGTCCCAAAAATAACTCACGCCAAAGAGTAGTGGGGTTTACAAATTTGAACTTTGTTCGTACGTACTACGTGAGAGTTTGGAAAGTGCCAGACTGAGAACCGTTACCGATATGGTAGCCAATTATATTCTTGATGATGCACCCCTCCTATACTATAGTTTGTGTCCATTAGTGCCTTCATGACAGTGAAGAAACATAGAGAAGTTTGTGTGCATTAGTGCCTTCATGACAGTGAAGAAACATAGAGACGTTTGTGTGCATTAGTGCCTTCATGACAGTGAAGAAACATAGAGAAGTTTGTGTGCATTAGTGCCTTCATGACAGTGAAGAAACATAGAGACGTTTGTGTCCGGTAGCGCGCGCACGCACACACACACACAAACACACACAGAGAGAGAGAGAGAGAGAGAGAGAGAGAGAGAGAGAGAGAGAGAGAGAGAGAGAGAGAGAGAGAGAGAGAGAGAGAGAGAGAGCATGGGTTGCAGAAAGAAAAAAACTTGAAAACCTTTGTCAGAACATAAAATCTTGAAGTTTTGCTTTGAAGACTTTTTAGGGCCGGATATAGAAATACTAAGGCCGCAGCAATCTTGTTGAATAATTTCCCCATCATTCCTTTTCTAAAGTGATAATAGGGATTTTTCAACATCTTGTTTTTTTTTTGTTTTTTTTTTTTTAAAGAATATTAATGTAGATTCGTTTCGTTTAGCCAGGTCTCGATTTTCTATTATTTAAAAACCCTTACCAAATTTAATGCCCACCGCACCCTTTGATAGCGCTTCCGCGAATTTCCCAAGCCTTTAAATAATTTCCCCATCATTCCTTTTCTAAAGTGATAATAGGGATTTTTCAACATCTTGTTTTTTTTTTGTTTTTTTTTTTTTTAAAGAATATTAATGTAGATTCGTTTCGTTTAGCCAGGTCTCGATTTTCTATTATTTAAAAACCCTTACCAAATGTAATGCCCACCGCACCCTTTGATAGCGCTTCCGCGAATTTCCCAAGCCTTTCAAGGTCTCACTGGACAACCCCCTTTGAGAACCCCTTATTGAAGCAGAGAAAAACAATCAAAGCAACATTTTAAGCTGTTGTTCAAAAATGCCTCTAAAGAAGTTAATTGAGGGACAATTACTAAGCTAGAGGAATACTTTAGATTTACCCCTTTTCGTGCCCTTGAATTTCACTTTTTTTGTCTAAAATTGTTAAAAAACCTAATCTTAAATTACAACAAAAACTCTATACATGATATTCATATATTTTACATTACAGGAATTCGATATATATTGATATCTGCATAAAAAATGTAAACACATTTTGCCTTTTAAATAAAAAAATATACATCATCCGAAAATCGTATAACAAAGAATTCTTTAATCGAAAGAAGTTTCTCGCAATCATTTTTCTATTACAGACTTGTGTGTCTTTTTTTTTTCTCATAAAAATTTTCGCAAAGTAAAAACAACAGTATATTTTAGTTTTTTAAAAAGAAAAGAGTAACTCATCTCCATTTTTTAAAATTAAATTTTTAAGTGTGTAAAATGATTGGGTTTTGATATTCATGAGTATACTTATATACAGGTACCCACGTTTTGTTTTAGGCCATTGATTGTATTAATTGTTAAATATATGTTTATTTGTAAAAAGAGAACGTAACATCTTTTTTGTCACAAAGGAAACACCACAGGATTTAAATATATTGTCATCCACGTAAAAATGTACACATCCTAATTACTACCTCCGATATGTACCGTATATGTACCCAAGGAGATTAATTATGTATCAAATTTCATTCATTTATTTTGAGACTTATCGTGTGCTGCCCGGGGCAAAATAACCACACCCCCTCAAGATGTTTTAATTAAAATTAATACAATCTTCCACCGGATTGTAATCCCTTCCATACCCAAACTAACATGTTTTGCACGTCATATGGTTTTTTTTTTTGATTTGGATAAGCTTAAGTGGATTAGTGAATGCTATTTGGATATGCAGTTTCGCTGCGCTGATTGACTTAAACAGCATTTTCTTATTAGAATTATATTTAAAGGTTAGTTTTTATTACGTTATTAATTTAAATAAAAGTATATATAATAATGAAAGTATAAAGATAGACCCAGAGATCCTTAATGTCCCTCCATCAACAGACAATGATAACTAACCTATTCTCCGCGCAGAAGTAGAAGCAGCAGTCCAAGCACTCCAAACAGGAAAGGCCGCAGGAGTGGATAATATCCCTGCAGAGTTGGTGAAACAAGGAGGAGAAGCAATGATAAGTGCCCTATTCAATATTTGTAGCAACATCTGGCTTACAGGAGAATGGCCCAAACCATGGACCCAATCGCTCATCGTCACCCTCCCCAAAAAAGGTAACCTACAGCTATGCCAAAACTATCACACCATTAGCCTAATAAGCCATCCATGCTGAAGATCATATTGAACCGACTAAAACCATTTGCCGACAGAATCATTGCTGAAGAACAGGCGGGCTTCAGACAAGGACGGGGCACTACTAAACCTCCGAGATTCTAAACCTCCGAATACTATGTGAGAAATATGCTCAACACCAACAAAATCTATATCACGTCTTTGTTGACTTCAAGAAAGCATTCGACAGGATTTGGCATGCTGCTTTATGGGCCACCATGAGGCACTACAATATCAATACAAACCTCACCAGAATAATATGCAACCTCTATGATAAGGTCACCAGTGCTGTCTTCATCAACAACAACATCGGAGAATGGTTCAAGACCATGGTTGGAATACGACAAGGCTGCCTGTATATCCCCACACTCTTTAACATCTTCCTATAGAAAATTATGTCATATGCTCTGGAAGCGCATGAAGGGGCAGTCAGCAATGGTGGCA